TTAGCCAACCAGGATGTTTATCGAGGGTAATGAACATTTAATCTGTTCTTTTTTCCATATATTAAGCACAATGTTAGTAATTTTTAATAATTATACATATTTTTTTTAACCCATATGCCGAGTTGGGACAGTCTATACCCCGACACATTTACTTAAAAATAACAGAAAATAGAAAATTGCAATAAATCTGGTGAATGATGGTCAGGCTACTATCAAATCTTACTTCTGTCAATTTCATCACTGCGACACTATCAGATGTATTTAATAAGAAACAGCATTTAGAAAAATGTGGACCTTTGTGGATACCTCGAACTGACGACTAGTAAATTTTAAGCATTAAGTGTTACACATTGCATACCAGAAAATGACCAGTCACAAAAGAAATTGCAAAAGAGTCTGTATTTGGCCTCTTTTTCATATCCCAGTCGCATTCGAAGAGTTGCTTGACTACATTGGTGATCTTCCACTGATAGATTCAGATTCTTTAACATGGATCTCAGGAGTACTTCATGTTCACTGATTGTTGGGTTGTCCAGAGAAAGAGGTTGCACACCTCAAGAAGTAATTTAGGCTGGCAAAGTTAGACAGCTTATAAGAAGATGTAGGACATAATGGTCATTTATTCTCTCCTCCATTCTCTTCAGGTCATTCAGTTTGTCCATGAGTACTCTGTAGATGGCCTGATGACCCAGCGGTGCTCTTGGATGGGGGTGGTAGTTGAGGCTTCAGGAACGACTATTCGAACAGCAGTAATTATTTCCTGGTTGGTTGTCATCATTTCACACTTGGCGGGATTGAGAATGAGTCCTAGGGCTTCTCCCTGTGGCTTCACCAGTTGTAGGTCCTCTAGCATGAACTTATCCGTAACTGCCAGAGTGCCATCATCCAGATACCGGATACTGAGCTCGCTGCGCAACATGGAAGTTAGTTCTCTTATAGCCAAGCAGAAGATAAACGGAGCGAGCGGGTCACCCTGCTGGACTCACTCTGATGAGGTGATTTCATGCTCGCCAAATAAAATAATTGAAGATTTGCTGTAGCCAATTGAAATAAAGTGAAAAAGACTGGGGAACTGCTCTCGAACAGCTGAGAAGACCACACCTCTTTTCACTATAATAAAGGCATTCCTAAAGTCTAGTTTGACTACGGCCTTGTCTTCTGATAAGTCCCTGGAGTAGGCCCTTGCTACATGAGCTGCCTTGAGAGACCCCGAAGCCCAGTTGGTTTGGCTGGGGGTAAGCTGGCGGCTTCTGTGCGAATGTTTCTTACTGCTGCCTTGGCAACGAAACGGAAAAGAGTGTTGCCAACCGATAGGTTTGTTTCTCCCATCCTTCTTATTCAAAGCACATAATGGAGATCCGTAAAAGAAAGGTCCAGGAATCAGTTCTGCCAGACAGTTGTTGCCGAAGGTTGTTAACTCAGAAAGGAGAATTGATGCAGCTGTGCCAAGTACTGGATTTACCATTTCTTTAATGTTGTAGTCGTATTCCAATGTAACCTCCTGGCAATAAATGGTATAAAATACCGACACAATGGAAATATAAACACACATGCAGTATAATGTGATCCTTTATTGATAACGTTTCGCCCACACAGTGGGCTTTATCAAGTGACAAACAGATCTGAACATTAAAATGGTATAAAATACCGACAGGTTGTTAGGTAAGACACATATGCAACAGTTAGGTATCAACTTTTCTGTACTTGACTGAAGAAGCCTACTGTGTAGGCGAAACGTTTCATAATAAAGATACCTAACTGTTGCATATGTGTCTTACCTAACAACAAACAGATCTACCTGGGGTGGAAGGTACACGAGTATTTATAGTCAGGTTCAGAATCCTGGGTCAGGTGGAGAATACTGCATCTGATGATCTACCGAGTGGGGTTATAGAGTGTAAAATCTTGGGTAGCTCGGAAGGGAGATTGGATAAGGATGTGAGTGGACCTTCTGCAGTGTTCCTCCATTCCTATGCTCTTATGTGGGATAGCGATGAAAAAGTTTCTTGGCAAGTGGTTCAGCTATGTTATAGAAGCCATTGTTCTGGAGTTTACCTGGAGAGAGATCCGGGGGTCAACGCCCCCGCGGCCCGATCTGTGACCAGGCCTCCTGGTGGATCAGAGCCTAATCAACCAGGCTGTTACTGCTGGCTGCACGCAAACCAACGTACGAGCCACAGCCCGGCTGGTCAGGTACCGACTTTGGGTGCTTGTCCAGTGCCAGCTTGAAGACTGCCAGGGGTCTGTTGGTAATCCCCCTTATGTATGCTGGGAGACAGTTGAACAGTCTCGGGCCCCTGACACTTATTGTATGGCCTCTTAACGTGCTAGTGACATCCCTGCTTTTCATTGGGGGGATGTTGCATCGTCTGCCAAGTCTTTTGCTTTCGTAGTGAGTGATTTTCGTGTGCAAGTTCGGTACTAGTCCCTCTAGGATTTTCCAGGTGTATATAATCATGTATCTCTCCCGCCTGCGTTCCAGGGAATACAGGTTCAGGAACCTCAAGCGCTCCCAGTAATTGAGGTGTTTTATCTCCGTTATGCGCGCCGTGAAGGTTCTCTGTACATTTTCTAGGTCAGCAATTTCACCTGCCTTGAAAGGTGCTGTTAGTGTGCAGCAATATTCCAGCCTAGATAGAACAAGTGACCTGAAGAGTGTCATCATGGGCTTGGCCTCGCTAGTTTTGAAGGTTCTCATTATCCATCCTGCGATTGATACAATGTTATGGTCCTTGAAGGTGAGATCCTCCGACATGATCACTCCCAGGTCTTTGACGTTGGTGTTTCGTTCTATTTTGTGGCCAGAATTTGTTTTGTACTCTGATGAAGATTTAATTTCCTCGTGTTTACCATATCTGAGTAATTGAATTTTCTCATCGTTGAACTTCATATTGTTTTCTGCAGCCCACTGAAAGATTTGGTTGATGTCCGCCTGGAGCCTTGCAGTGTCTGCAATGGAAGACACTGTCATGCAGATTCGGGTGTCATCTGCAAAGGAAGACACGGTGCTGTGGCTGACATCCTTGTCTATGTCAGATATGAGGATGAGGAACAAGATGGGAGCGAGTACTGTGCCTTGTGGAACAGAGCTTTTCACCGTAGCTGCCTCGGACTTTACTCTGTTGACTACTACTCTTTGTGTTCTGTTTGTGAGGAAATTATAGATCCATCGATCAACTTTTCCTGTTATTCCTTTAGCCCGCATTTTGTGCGCTATTACGCCATGGTCACACTTGTCGAAGGCTTTTGCAAAGTCTGTATATATTACATCTGCATTCTTTTTGTCTTCTAGTGCATCTAGGACCTTGTCGTAGTGATCCAATAGTTGAGACAGACAGGAGCGACCTGCTCTAAACCCATGTTGCCCTGGGTTGTGTAATTGGTGGGTTTCTAGATGGGTGGCGATCTTGCTTCTTAGGGCCCTTTCAAAGATTTTTATGATATGGGATGTTAGTGCTATCGGTCTGTAGTTCTTTGCTATTGCTTTACTGCCCCCTTTGTGGAGTGGGGCTATGTCTGTTGTTTTTAGTAACTGTGGGACGACCCCCGTGCCCATCCTCCCTCTCCATAGGATGGTAAAAGCTCGTGATAGGGGCTTCTTGCAGTTCTTGATGAACACGGAGTTCCATGAGTCTGGCCCTGGGGCAGAGTGCATGGGCATGCCATTTATCGCCTGTTCGAAGTCATTTGGCGTCAGGATAACATCAGATAGGCTTGTGTTAACCAAATTCTGTGGCTCTCTCATAAAAAATTAATTTTGATCTTCGACTCTCAGTCTGGTTAGCGGCTTGCTAAAAACTGAGTCATATTGGGACTTGAGTAGCTCACTCATTTCCTTGCTGTCATCTGTGTAGGACCCATCTTGTTTAAGTAGGAGCCCAATACTGGACGTTGTTCTCGACTTTGATTTGGCATAGGAGAAGAAATACTTTGGGTTTCTTTCGATTTCATTTATGGCTTTTAGTTCTTCCCGCGATATAAAGATAAGCGATGATTCCAGGATTCTTCGGTATTGAGTGTTGTCTTCTGTGGCGATAAGTTTGTAGGTGGGGAGGACTATGTATCTCTTCTCGGCAGTGCCTTGTTTTGGTGTGTTGAAGATTTTTAATGCCCATCGTCTGCAGTCTCTGATGAAGTGACGAGGATAGTGAAGTTTGGAAAGTACTTGTTCAGTTATAGTGTATTCTTCCTCAAGAAACTCATTGCTGCAGATTCTGAGTGCGCGCAGGAAAAAGCCTATAATTACACCAAGTTTAGTTTTGGTGTCGTGGTGAGAGTAGAAGTGGAGAAGATCGTTTTGGTTGGTGGGTTTTCGATAGACTTTAAAACGAAGTTCATGGTCAGCTTTGCAGAGAAGAACATCAAGGAAAGGAAGAGTGTTGACTACTTCTTCTTCAAGTGTGAACTGGATTGAGGGCTCGACCTGGTTGAGGTTGTCTTGGAGAGCTTGAACGTTGAAGCGTCTGGGAGTTATGAGGAGAATGTCCTCAACATAACAGAGCCATGTGACAGACGAACGAATAATGGTGGAGAAACGCTCGGCTTTCAGAAGTTCCATGTATAGATTCACCAGGACCGCACTGAGTGGCGGACCCATGGGTAGTCCGAAAGTCTGCTGAAAGAGGTGATTTTCGAAAGAGAAACACGTAAAGCCAACACATAGTTCAACAAGGTCGATGAAATCGCTGGCTGGAATGGGAAGATCAAGTGAATCGTCAATTTTCCTGCGCAGGAGATCGATGGCTTGTGTGGTAGGTACTTTGGTGAATAAGGAAGTTACGCCAAGGCTGGAAAGTTTCTTGTTCCTGATGTTGATGTTGCGAATGCGATTGAGAAGATCACCCGAGTGTTTGAGATGTGCTGGACTGATAGTGTCCAAGAGTTTAGAGAGGTGCTTTGCTAGAATTTCTGAGAGTTGGTGGGGAGCACTGCCTATTCTCGAAGATATGGGCCTCAATTGGATACCAGGCTTGTGAGTTTTTGGCAGGCCGTACATTCTGGCAGGTCTGGGGTTGCTGGGTATGGTGTGCAGAAGTTTCGTCCCTTGTTCTGAGTCCCTCAGAATGCGGCGAGTCCTTTGAAGAAATGTTTTAGTAAGGTTGTCCACTTTGTTAGTTGTGAGGGGTTTGTAGGTATTTGGGTCATTAAGTAGATTGAACATTTTGCTCCTGTAGTCGTCAGTGTTCATGATAACAACACCACCTCCTTTATCAGCGGTGGTGACCCTGATGGTCGTGTTTTCTGCTAAAGCTTTAAGTGCAATGATGTAACGTCGAGGTATGGCTGGGGAGCTGCGTGTTGAGATGGCCACTGAGATGATGCCTTGAAGATAACCTTTTTGGAAGTCAGAGTCATTGTGTCTGTGGTTCTTGGCAATGAAATTGAGGTCTTGTTTTGGTTTCGTAATTCCTGTTGCGAATTTGAGGCCTAAGCTGAGGGCTTCAGTTTCTGTGGTTGATAGGGGACGAGATGAAAGATTTTGAATAATTTCAGGTCTTCCTAAACTTTTCCAATGACTGTTATCGCAGAGAGTTTGTAGTTTCCTAGTAAGTCTGATCTTTTGTTGAACATTCGCTGTGGTAACTCTGATGCGAATGACTTCGGCCGTGCGTCTGTTCATGTTGCCCCGGAGTGTTGTGCCCAGTGTTCTGGCTTGGAGAAAAGCTTCCTTTGTAGCATTGTTTAAGTCATCTGCACACTCTTCAAGGTAGGTCCGAGCTGTAGCGGAGAAACGTGGTTTGATGTTGGCAATTTGACTAGGAGTAGATCTTGGTAAGACCATTTCTTGGATGCAGTCCCGAAGAAAATTGTGTCTGTTGCGAAGTGAGTAAGCTTTTAGAAGAAGGTATAATTACACCACTAAACGTGGTGTAATTATAGACTTTTTCCTCTGCGCACTCAGAATCTGCAGCAATGAGTTCCTTGAGGAAGAATGCACTATAATTGAACAAGTATTTTCCAAACTTCACTATCCTCGTCACTTCATCAGAGACTGCAGACGACGGGCATTAAAATTTTCAACACACCCAGAGAAGACACTGCTGAGAAGAGATACATAGTCCTCCCCACCAACTCCATTGCCATACACGTTTCAAACATCTTTTCCAATACCTCATTCGAAGTATCTACCTCCACAACCACGACCATCAAGGACATTACCAGTAATAGACAGGACAAACTTCCATCCTCTGCAGGGGTATACATAATCCCTTGTAATGTCTGCAGCAAATTATACGTGGGCAAAACATTAAGAGACCTCCAAACACGTATTTCAGAACACCAATACGCAAGCAGGTCTGACGATACAAGAAATGCCTGTGTACAACACCGTAATTCACACAACCATTTAATAAACTACAGAAACTCAAGACTTATCACCACAGAAGACAACACTCAATACCGAAGAATCCTGGAATCATCACTTATCTCTACATCCGACAACTTCAACCAGAATAATGGCTTCTATAACATAGGTGAACCACTTGCCAAGAAACTTCTTCATCGCTATCCCACATAAAAACATAGGAATGGAGGAACACTGCAGGTCTTCTCACATCCTTATCCAATCTCCCTTCCAAGCTACCCAAGATTTTACACTCTATAACCCCACTCGGTAAATCATCAGATGCAGCATTCTCCACCTGACCTCAACATTCTGAACCTGACTATAAATACTCGCGTACCTTCCACTTGATAAAGCCCACTGTGTGAGCGAAACGTTGTCAATAAAGGATCACATTATACTGCATATGTGTTTATATTTCCAATGTAACCTGCAGAAAATGACAATATCGTTTTATAAACTGCTCATTCTGGCAAAATTAACTGTCCAGTGATGGGATCATCATTAGGTGTCCCTGGTTCGGTGCTGGTTTCTTAGTGCTTGAGCTGCGGTCTCATGTTTGGGAGCAAATGTGTAGTCACTTATGGTTATTCTGGTTGTTCCCACTGTGTTGCCTTCAATATTTTTTGCTAACCTGATATCTGAGAAGCTTGCATATGTGAACAATAAAATCACAGAAACATTGTTAATTCTCATATGAAACTATTGTTAGTGGTGTCATACAGCAATGAACAATGACACCAAGATGCCACACAGATGAGAAGGTCATGCCCTATATTGGGATCAACCAATAGAAAAAAGCATGGGAAACCCTGAAATGCAAATTGCATTTTGTGAACCTGGCCAGTTGTCACATCTACATTTACCTCAACAAAATAAACTATACAGATCGCACACAACGTCATTCTGCACAGAATGAGAGTAATAAAAACTGTATGACAGGTAAATTTTAGTAATTGTAGCAATGTTAATCGTTAGCATAATTAAAATAAAAGACCCGAAATTTTGTTGCAGTTTAGTCAACATAGGAAATATGGATGACAGAGGATGTTAGAGATGTCGCCAAAAAAAGAAAAAAAAATCAAACACTAACCATATATTGCAGTTAACTTTGTAGCTGTGACCGCTAGCGACGTAGAGGCCGCCATAGTTGCACCCTGTGGTATACAAATTATTTAAATATTTTATTCTTTAAAAGTATCTTTTAAACTACAAATATATAACAGTAAAATAATCATATCTTTTACTGAAAAAAATAAATACACAATGATTTTTCCCTTAAGCTACAATCACGATAGACATTAAAAAAAAAATATTCAGATTTACGTTTGTTTAGGGATTCAATGTCCCGAGATTCCAGTGTTAAACACAACTAAAACTGACAACCAAAGTCCCCCAAACACCTGTGAGAGTTTTGATGAATCCATCTTGAGAAAATCCACATCTGCACATTATGTAAGTGACCAAGAAAATAATATAAATCGCAAGAATGATCAATAGTGAGTAATTCATTGAGTTTATATTACTCATAAAACCCCCGTCGACAAACATAATGAGAGGTTACTTCAAGACGTCTTCTACCAATGATCAATGAAAAACACGTTGATCAAATATATTAAGAGTAAATATTCTAGAAATTATTAGTTAGTGAAAACTGAACGATATTGAAATACTGATAAAGTTATTCAATGAAAAGACTGAAAAAAAACAACATAGACTGAAATAAGATTCACACTGATACACAGTTTACCAACCAGGTATGGAAAAAAAAGATCAGATGGATCAACAAGAGGGAGCAGAATAAATAGCATTTCGATACCTGAGTAATGAGTCGTTCAAGACACTGTACACTGAGTATGCAGCACCAACATGGAACCCACACCTGGCCAAGCACGTTCAAGACACTGTACACTGAGTATACAGAACCAACATGGAACCCACACCTGGTCAAGCACGTTCAAGACACTGTACACTGAGTATGCAGCACCAACATGGAACCCACACCTGGTCAAGCACGTTCAAGACACTGTACACTGTGTATGCAGAACCAACATGGAACCCACACCTGGTCAAGCACGTTCAAGACACTGTACACTGAGTATGCAGCACCAACATGGAACCCACACCTGGTCAAGCACGTTCAAGACACTGTACCATGAGTATGCAGCACCAACATGGAACCCACACCTGGTCAAGCACGTTCAAGACACTGTACACTGTGTATGCAGCACCAACATGGAACCCACACCTGGTCAAGCACGTTCAAGACACTGTACACTGAGTATGCAGCACCAACATGGAACCCACACCTGGTCAAGCACGTTCAAGACACTGTACACTGAGTATGCAGCACCAACATGGAACCCACACCTGGTCAAGCACGTTCAAGACACTGTACACTGAGTATGCAGCACCAACATGGAACCCACACCTGGTCAAGCACGTTCAAGACACTGTACACTGTGTATGCAGCACCAACATGGAACCCACACCTGGTCAAGCACGTTCAAGGACACTGTACACTGTGTATGCAGCACCAACATGGAACCCACACCTGGTCAAGCACGTTCAAGACACTGTACACTGAGTATGCAGCACCAACATGGAACCCACACCTGGTCAAGCACGTTCAAGACACTGTACACTGTGTATGCAGCACCAACATGGAACCCACACCTGGTCAAGCACGTTCAAGACACTGTACACTGAGTATGCAGCACCAACATGGAACCCACACCTGGTCAAGCACGTTCAAGACACTGTACACTGAGTATGCAGCACCAACATGGAACCCACACCTGGTCAAGCACGTTCAAGACACTGTACACTGTGTATGCAGCACCAACATGGAAACCCACACCTGGTCAAGCACGTTCAAGACACTGTACACTGAGTATGCAGCACCAACATGGAACCCACACCTGGTCAAGCACGTTCAAGACACTGTACATGAGTATGCAGCACCAACATGGAAACCCACCTGGTCAAGCACGTTCAAGACACTGTACACTGTGTATGCAGCACAACATGGAACCCACACCTGGTCAAGCACGTTCAAGACACTGTACACTGAGTATGCAGCACCAACATGGAAACCCACACCTGGTCAAGCACGTTCAAGACACTGTACACTGTGTATGCAGCACCAACATGGAACCCACACTGGTCAAGCACGTTCAAGACACTGTACACTGAGTATGCAGCACCAACATGGAACCCACACTGGTCAAGCACGTTCAAGACACTGTACACTGAGTATGCAGCACCAACATGGAAACCACACCTGGTCAAGCACGTTCAAGACACTGTACACTGTGTATGCAGCACCAACATGGAACCCACACCTGGTCAAGCACGTTCAAGACACTGTACACTGAGTATGCAGCACCAACATGGAACCACACCTGGTCAAGCACGTTCAAGACACTGTACACTGAGTATGCAGCACCAACATGGAACCCACACCTGGTCAAGCACGTTCAAGACACTGTACACTGTGTATGCAGCACCAACATGGAACCCACACCTGGTCAAGCACGTTCAAGACACTGTACACTGAGTATGCAGCACCAACATGGAACCCACACCTGGTCAAGCACGTTCAAGACACTGTACACTGTGTATGCAGCACCAACATGGAACCCACACCTGGTCAAGCACGTTCAAGACACTGTACACTGAGTATGCAGCACCAACATGGAACCCACACCTGGTCAAGCACGTTCAGACACTGTACACTGTGTATGCAGCACCAACATGGAACCCACACCTGGTCAAGCACGTTCAAGACACTGTACACTGAGTATGCAGAACCAACATGGAACCCACACCTGGTCAAGCACGTTCAAGGACACTGTACACTGAGTATGCAGCACCAACATGGAACCCACACCTGGTCAAGCACGTTCAAGACACTGTACACTGTGTATGCAGCACCAACATGGAACCCACACCTGGTCAAGACGTTCAAGACACTGTACACTGAGTATGCAGCACCAACATGGAACCCACACTGGTCAAGCACGTTCAAGACACTGTACACTGTGTATGCAGCACCAACATGGAACCCACACCTGGTCAAGCACGTTCAAGACACTGTACACTGTGTATGCAGCACCAACATGGAACCCACACCTGGTCAAGCACGTTCAAGACACTGTACACTGAGTATGCAGCACCAACATGGAACCCACACCTGGTCAAGCACGTTCAAGACACTGTACACTGAGTATGCAGCACCAACATGGAACCCACACCTGGTCAAGCACGTTCAAGACACTGTACACTGAGTATGCAGCACCAACATGGAACCCACACCTGGTCAAGCACGTTCAAGACACTGTACACTGTGTATGCAGCACCAACATGGAACCCACACCTAGTCAAGCACGTTCAAGACACTGTACACTGTATATGCAGCACCAACGTGGAACCCACACCTGGTCAAGCACGTTCAAGACACTGTACACTGAGTATGCAGCACCAACATGGAACCCACACCTGGTCAAGCACGTTCAAGACACTGTACACTGAGTATGCAGCACCAACATGGAACCCACACCTGGTCAAGCACGTTCAAGACACTGTACACTGAGTATGCAGCACCAACATGGAACCCACACCTAGTCAAGCACGTTCAAGACACTGTACACTGTGTATGCAGCACCAACGTGGAACCCACACCTGGTCAAGCACGTTCAAGACACTGTACACTGAGTATGCAGCACCAACATGGAACCCACACCTAGTCAAGCACGTTCAAGACACTGTACACTGTGTATGCAGCACCAACATGGAACCCACACCTGGTCAAGCACGTTCAAGACACTGTACACTGTATATGCAGCACCAACATGGAACCCACACCTGGTCAAGCACGTTCAAGACACTGTACACTGAGTATGCAGCACCAACATGGAACCCACACCTGGTCAAGCACGTTCAAGACACTGTACACTGAGTATGCAGCACCAACATGGAACCCACACCTGGTCAAGCACGTTCAAGACACTGTACACTGTGTATGCAGCACCAACATGAAACCCACACCTGGTCAAGCACGTTCAAGACACTGTACACTGTATATGCAGCACCAACGTGGAACCCACACCTGGTCAAGCACGTTCAAGACACTGTACACTGAGTATGCAGCACCAACATGGAAACCCACACCTGGTCAAGCACGTTCAAGACACTGTACACTGTATATGCAGCACCAACATGGAACCCACACCTGGTCAAGCACGTTCAAGACACTGTACACTGTGTATGCAGCACCAACATGGAACCCACACCTGGTCAAGCACGTTCAAGACACTGTACACTGAGTATGCAGCACCAACATGGAACCCACACCTGGTCAAGCACGTTCAAGACACTGTACACTGTATATGCAGCACAAACATGGAACCCACACCTGGTCAAGCACGTTCAAGACACTGTACACTGAGTATGCCGAACCAACATGGAACCCACACCTGGTCAAGCACGTTCAAGACACTGTACACTGTGTATGCAGAACCAACATGGAACCCACACCTGGTCAAGCACGTTCAAGACACTGTACACTGTATATGCAGCACCAACATGGAACCCACACCTGGTCAAGCACGTTCAAGACACTGTACACTGAGTATGCAGAACCAACATGGAACCCACACCTGGTCAAGCACGTTCAAGACACTGTACACTGTGTATGCAACACAAACATGGAACCCACACCTGGTCAAGCACGTTCAAGACACTGTACACTGTGTATGCAGAACCAACATGGAACCCACACCTGGTCAAGCACGTTCAAGACACTGTACACTGTATATGTAGCACCAACATGGAACCCACACCTGGTCAAGCACGTTCAAGACACTGTACACTGTGTATGCAGAACCAACATGGAACCCACACCTGGTCAAGCACGTTCAAGACACTGTACACTGTATATGCAGCACCAACATGGAACCCACACCTGGTCAAGCACGTTCAAGACACTGTACACTGAGTATGCAGAACCAACATGGAACCCACACCTGGTCAAGCACGTTCAAGACACTGTACACTGAGTATGCCGAACCAACATGGAACCCACACCTGGTCAAGCACGTTCAAGACACTGTACACTGTGTATGCAGAACCAACATGGAACCCACACCTGGTCAAG